TCCAGAAACTATTTGAAAACTGCAAACTGAATCCATACTCTTTTCTTAAGATTTGTTTTCTATATATTGAGGTTTTGCCTGCATGTATGTCTGTGTGAGGATGCCACATCCCCTGAAACTGGAGTTACAGACATTTGTGAGCAATTTGGGTGCTAGGAATTAAAGCTGGGTCCTTTGGAAGAGCAGCCAGTGATCTGAACCACTGAAACATCTCTCCTTTCTTAACATTTTAGGAAGAATCCAAACGACTGAAGCTACACACATTTCCCTCCGTGTGGTAATTTTTAAGATATTTTTAAGTTTCTAATTATAGGTATGTGCGTTGTGTGTAGTGGTGCTGGGGAGGCCAGAAGAGGGTATCAGATTCCCTGAAACAAGTTATGGACAGTTGTAAGCAGTCATATGTGGGTGCTAGGAACCAAGCTCAGGACCTCTGTAAGAGTGGGCAGTGTTCCTTAACAAGGAGCCATCTCTCCTGCCCCTCCTGTAGTAATGCCTGAGCTGTTAGCATCTCTTAATGAGGAGGTATCTGAGTTAAAATGGAGGAATTCCTGCCTGGTAAAGGAGAGTTTCGAGGGTGCCCGGCTTGTGAAAAACGGCAGAAATGCTGTAAGGTCTCCACGAGAGTCAGCTCCTGTAGACTGGTTTCTTGATGTTTCTTACTTCAACTCTGAGCATCTTCCCAGGAGCTAGGATGAAAAGAAGATGGCGTCCTTTAAAAATTCCCTGTTTCTTTTGTTATTTTATTTTGTATTGAGATGGGGTCTTCTAGCAGCTTAGGCTGGTCTAAGATCTCTCCAATTTCCTGCCTGGGCCTCCTGATTAGGGAGATTTGAAGTGCACACCGCGCAGGGATACCGGGTGCCTGTCCCTTTCAGTGGTGCCTAACCAATTGGATTAGCAACATCTTTGGGAAACTGTAGCCCTGCCAGGTCATTTTTCCGCTATCATCAGAACTGTATACATCATTGTTTTCAGGATGGGCGGCGCTCCCAGCGCACTGTTTTCGGGTTTCTATTGGCACTTTGATAGTCTCAGTTCTGAGTGGCAGGCCAAGCAGCAGCAAACTCCGGTTCTAGGAAACTCGGGCAATTATAAATTTGTTCGTCATATCTCTTCCTGAAATTGACATTTCCTTTTCATTTGGAATGAGCACATCCTCTCCTTCCTGCGAGCTAAGGGGAAAAGGTGCTTTTGAAACATCCAGGATTTAACAATCCTCCCTCTTTACTTTCCTTCCCCTCTTCCTTTCTCCCCTTCTAGAGTTCTGACTTTCAAACGTGCACCCTCAACCGGAGGGAGGTGATAGTTTGAGGTGTCTGGCTTGGAGTCACTTCCCTGCTCCCATCGTCTCTACTGCTAAAAGCAAGCGGAAGTGACTGAGAAATCCCGGGGGGGGGGTGAGGTCGAGTGGCCCCCCCGTCCCCCCCCACCAACAACTTCTCAGTCTTTCCCTTCTCCCTTTCCCTCAAACCTCGGGCAGAGTCGGGGGCTCCCAAACTGCACAGTAAACTTTTTAACTTTTTGTGAACGGTGACCTACAGAAACCCGTAGACGCTCTAGCCATGGGATAGAGTCCTGAGAGGACCCGGGTTTAAACTGTTGCAAAACTTTCGGGGAACTGCGGATCTGAAACACAACCTGGAACCATAGGAGTCTAAAACTCTTGACTTGGGTCAGTTAAACGGAGAGTAGAGCTCAGGTGACAAATCTGGTTCCTCGTGATCAAGGATGAGATTGGGACTCCGGCGCAGCGCTACTTTCTCTCTTAAGAAATCCCAAGTGCGGTAGTGAAAAGAGATGGGGACAAAATGAACGGGACCGGCAGAAATGGGGATACGAAAAAGACACAGTAGAAAGCAGAGAAAGAAGAGACCATCGGAGAGGAGGGACGGGCCCAGAGAGATCCTCACCAAGACCTGGAGAGGGAAAGAGAGATTCCAAACCGGAGAGACCGAGATAGGAGAGGAGGAGAGTCGAAGTGAATAGCAGAGCGCCACCGAGGGAAGGGAACTTTCTCTGCTCTCCCTTCCTAGCAGGCCGACTCTGAAAACCCCACCTCGGGGAGGTGACGCGAATGGCCACCGATTGCTCGGGCCATTGCGGGCGCCTCTGGCCTCCGCCTCCAGCAGCTGGAGGGGCCTAAAGCGCAGTGTCCTGGCACCAGCGGCTGAGGAGGGGACAGGAGGCGGGCCGCCTGCCTCGTTTTCTCCTCCCCTCTCCTCCTCCTGGAGGCGTGCACCCAGGGTATTTGAGCGCCCGCGGGGGCCCCCGCCCCCTGGCCCCCCATTCAAGAAGCGGCTCGGCTAACTCGGCCAGCACAGGGCGCCCGGCGCGCCTCGGAGCGCACGTTCCGCGCCTTCTCCTGTCCGCTGGCTGGACATTATGCGGCCGAGCAGCCGAGCCCCAGTCCTCCGCCTCCTTCTCCTCCTTCTGCGGCCAGAGCGGCTCAGCTCACGGCAGGCGGCAGCGTTGCTCAGCCGAGCGCACACGGGACCCTCTCTGCAAGACCTCAGCGACTCCTAAAGTCAAAAAGTTGGCGGCAGGGCGCTGGGGTTCCGCGCGCTCTCCACTGCTACTGCCTTGCGTCGCCGCCAGCCACCAAAGCCGGCAGGAGGGAGGGGGGCTGAGAGAAGCGGGGGGGGAGGGGTGAAGAGCACCATGCAGTTAGTATCCTGGGCCACACTGCTAACGCTCCTGGTGCCGGACCTGGTTGAGATGAGGAGCCCTGACGCCGCGGCGACCGTGCGCAAGGACAGGCTGCACCCGAGGCAAGGTAACGTGGCTCTGGACCCTCAAGGTCCCCCCTCCCACACACACACACTCCGTCTCCACCTCCTCAACACACGCTCTGGGGCGGGCACCCCACAACAGAGGCCTCTCTCCTTTTCCTAGAAAGAATTACCTCGCGTTTTGGGCCTTTCCCTTTTCTGGGTCATCCTTAGCCAACCGGAGGGAGGGAGGCACCGCAAGAATTTTAGGGCCACCCACCCCCAGCCCTTTTTTGCCTGATTTTTTTACTCTTTCTCCTTATTTCCCGTCCCAAATCAATGCTACTTAGTAGCTGGGATCACTGGAGAGCGCACATTTGATTTTATTCAGGAATTTATCAGAACCTGTAATTATTTTATGTTTCTAGATTTATTCATTGTCTGAGTTCTCATGTAGAATTCTGGGCGCCTCGCATAGTTGTGGGCTGTTACTATTACAGTAGGCGTTCAACAAATATTTGTCCAGAGATGGAAGGTTAAAGAATTGACACGACGGGCTGCAAAGTTAGGACAAAGCCCCCCATCTCCTTTTTAAATTAAAGCTTTCCCAGAAATGAATCATTAGCTCATTTGTCTCTGCTTCTCCCTGCAGTGAAATTATTAGAGACTCTGAGCGAATATGAGATCGCGTCTCCCATCCGAGTGAACACCCTCGGGGAACCCTTTCCCACGAACGTGCACTTCAAAAGAAGGCGACGAAGCATTAACTCTGCCTCTGACCCCTGGCCTGCCTTCGCCTCCTCCTCGTCTTCCTCTACCTCTTCCCAGGCACACTATCGCCTCTCAGTCTTCGGCCAGCAGTTCCTATTTAATCTCACCGCCCATACCGGATTTATCGCACCACTGTTCACTGTCACCCTCCTTGGGGAGCCAGGGGTGAACCAGACCAAGCAGTATTCCGAAGAAGAAACGGAACTTAGGCACTGTTTCTACAAAGGCCATGTCAATACCAAGTCCGAGCACACTGCGGTCATCAGCCTGTGCTCCGGAATGGTAAGTGGGCGCGTGCCCCTTTCCTCCTCCCCGCCTCCTCGTCTGCTTCTTTAAGACTTAATTGCACCCTAGTCTGAACCTACGGAGTCTCTGCTCTGGGGTTAAATATCAACACTGTCTTTGGTCCCAGGATTTGGGGGTCTACTGGCGGGGTGCTTGCGCTTACGCTCGAGAAGAAAGTACGCGTCTATCCCCCCAGAGGGTCGTGGATCTTATGAAGCTGTCTCGGAGATGCATTGCGCTTGTTGCGCGTAGCCCAACTCTGCAGAGTAGCTTGCACGTCGACTTACAAACTCAGAGAAAGTTGCTGGGGTTGTGGTTTCTTTAGCAAACTTGGCCGCCCTGGAGCGGAGCAGCTGAGCACAGGGCGGACCTAACTCCTCATTGGTGCTTCCCGAGTGAGGGATGTAAACTGACAATCCCGGGACACCCCTTCTGGAGTGCTGGGATATCTCTCGTTATGGACAGGAGTACATAAGCTAGTGTCCCCGCATTCTTTCTTCTCGGAGCCTTTTATCACGTGCAAGGAATTTTGAAACTGAACCAGACTGACAGGGAAGCCAATTCTGTCCCGGGAAAGGAAGGGTGGGCCAAGAACTCTGAGAGCCCGGAGTGAGGGCGGAGCCTGTTTCTAAGGCGGTATTTGAGGGTGGAAGGGCGGCGGCGGGGGGCGGAGGGGGGAGTAGCACTGCAGTCCGACTCTGCACCCTGCTGGCGTGGTGGCTGGAGGCGCTAGAGTAGTTGGGGAGAGCCTGGAGAGGTAGCCTTAAGCAGAGTCCCGTTTTTTCTAGAACCCGTGGCGGTTTCAAATAGACAGGAATAGGAACATACAGCACACGTTTCTCTACGAAGGTGGAGTGTGACGGATACCACCCTGCGCTGCCTAGTGGGCACTTAGTGGGAGACCCAAGTTGGTGTCTCCATTCCCTCCTTCCCGACCCCTCTGTTTACCCTCCAGGGGAACTAACAAGGCATCCGCCTCCAATTCGTACGACAATTGAGAGTCTCTTACAATTCTGGACCCAACTAGGGTGGTCCTTCACTTTCCCAAGCGACGTGCGTCCTTCCACGCGCTTATGACGCAGAAACTTTCCCGCGGCTCGCTCTCCTAGCTCACAGCACTGAGCATTACGCACAATTGGCTATTAAAAGTCCGCGCCCCAGGGGCATTTACTCTCTTCCCTTGGCACACCCACCCACCTCCTCCTCTTTCTAAGTGGGGGCTTAGGTACTCACTCGAGAGCTAGGCTGCCACATTCGCTGGCTGGTTCTTGCGTCTTAAATTCCCGGTCTGGAGGTTACATCCTTCTAAGCCTTCGAGAGCAGAATCCTGGCGAGAGCTCCGCACTCCAGAAGACTGGGTGGAGAAGCCTTCTAGCCTGCTGGGTTATGGGGAAGGGGATGAGCCCCTTTACCCACCAGCTAAGCACTGGGAATCCTGGCGCCCAGAGAGCCTGGTTGATATTGATTGGGAATAGGCGGAGACCGCTGTTTGTCACGGGGAGGGGATGCTGCGTTGAGTCATCATGGCCTCAAACCTGGGCCTGGACGCTAGAATGGCTCCGCTTTTGAGAGGTTATCGCCTAGATAGGCTGAAAAGCCTTGAGGTGAATCCCAAAGAAACAACGCACCCCTAATTTAAAGCTAGGGACCCCAATTCCTGGTTCTTAGATAGGGCTGCTGTGTACTTCGTTGGTAAACATTCTTTACTCCTCCTCTTTCCCCGCCTACACACCGGTGGAATCTGAGTGGCCCCAGCAGTTGTATAAATATTTTTCTGCGTAGGACCTTAATTTCCATTGGTGGTTTTACATGGTAACACAGTGCACGTGGTCTCCTTGAGAACTGAGAATGCGGGCTTCTGGACTGACCTAACCCCATTCGAAAGGCATATAATTTGCAACGGGCCTTTTTGGGGGATAGGGCGACATATAGTTTAAAAATATGCGAACTCGGTTTTTGTATCTTTGGCCACTAATCTAACTCTGAGCTTCCTGCCTTCGTTGTCTCCTGGAATTTTTATTTCCTCCCACAACTCATCCTTATCATTTCTGTAGCGGTCTCTCCATGATGGTGTTCCTGACTCCCCAGGAAGGCGTCCAGGAAATCTGCCGTTTGGAGTGATCTAAAACCGTACACCTGCCACACACACACACTCCCACACCTGCCAGTTCTCAGTGTCCCTGACTCCCATCTCACACATTGCTCTCCTCTGCTGAGCAAAGGTCTGTACCTCAGTCCATGCTTCCCTTTCTCTCCTCAGGACCACTGTTTGAGAAATACCTCCATCTATCTGCTTCTCTTCTTCTTTTGTTTTTGTTTTTTCCATCCCTGCCGCACATCAAGAGCAGGTCCCTAAGTGGGCTGTGAGATCTCATTGCTGTGGTTGTTCCCATAACCTACACATCTCCTCATAGTCTCGCAAACAGTATCAAATTCCACAGCTGGTGCTTAAGATTCTGATGTTACATCTTCTCACTCATATGTCCCAACAACGTCCGATTTCATCTTAGTTTCTTCTTCTGAAATTCCCTGTTTCAAGTAGTCAGCTTTATGCTTTCTCTAAACTCTCTTAATTTCCTATGTTCAGTCCATATATTTCCCACAGTGTGTGTGTGTGTGTGTGTGTGTGTGTGTGTGTGTGTGTTGCTGATAACTCTGGGTCTTGTATCTGCCAGCAAGAGAGCTACATTCCTGGGTCAACATTTTTTCTTTTAAAACGTTTCATGTCTACTTCCCTACAAGACTCCATCGTCTTCCACATGGTGTCATTCCTCTGCTCCAAAATCATAGACCTCTCTTCAGCTGTGCCCCGTGTTCTCTGTGCCCCTGTTCTCCTCTTCTGTCCCAGGTATTTGCACTCACACCTAGCTGTTCCTCTCGCGTGCTGTAGTGTAGACTGTGCATAGCGTGTTTGTGTATATGGTTATGGCCGTAATGGTCACCTCGGTCAACACAAGATATGTTGGATCCTGGTGATTCTTTCTTTCTGAAACAACAACAAAATTACTTTTTTTCTCCACATTGTTACCATTTATTGAGCTTTTGCTGCATGCTCTGTGATACAAGGCCCCCACCATCAGAGCTAACCATTTTGCTGGTAAGAGTTCCTGGGCCTTCAGAACAATCTTCTTGCCCCAGACCTCATGCTGATAGGTGACCAGGTTGTAATTTCACCTCAGCCTTTCTTCTCCATACTTTTCACCAGAGGCCAGAGGCCCCGTTCACACTCCTCCGGAGAAGGACTTTTATTTTTTTGCAGACACTGATGTAAAATCAGGATTCTGAGTTCAAGAGTCACCATTAACGCTAACCTGCTCTGTACTACTTAAGGGCCACTTAGGACAAGTCCCTTCCTTTCTGTGCCTCTCGGCATTCTTTCACTAGTCCCGGCTCCCGTAGGCTTTCCGTTCCCTGTACTTAGGAAACCCCAGTTACATACTGACTGCAGATAGACATGCTTTGGCTAGCACGAATGTGCTGACCTGGTGCTTCTCTGGGATCTGTCAGTTTGTCACTGACTATGCTAAAAGTGACTGAATCTATGTGCTTGAGTCATGAGGGGAGCTTCTTTAAAAAGTCCAGTTCACACCTAGAAATTCTGAATCTGTAAATAGAGAGTGGCAGCCCCCCCCCCAAATCTCAGCAGGAAAAAGAATTCTTTCAGGCTTCTCGATCCTCCTTGGTTTGGGAAAACAGTGCCTTAGCCTGGTGGGGCGTCTTGCATGACTTTTCTTGTATATGAAGCATGGGAGCGTCTTAAAATTCTCATTCTTGAACTGATCCCAGAGATTCGGGTGCAGGACAGCAAATGTGAGGCAGAGGATCTGGAGGATGCGGGTACAGGTGTCCGCGCCTCTGGAGGATGCGGGTACAGGTGTCCGCGCCTCTGGAGGATGCGGGTACAGGTGTCCGCGCCTCTGGACGATGTGGGTACAGGTGTCCGCGCCTCTTCAGGGCTCTTTTCTTCTGTGCCCAGGAAACAAGGGAAGGCTTCTGGTTATTTTCAGTGTGGGAAGAGGGAAGAGTTTGGTGTCTCCTCTGAGACGCTGCCCATTGGACACTTTCAGCGTTCATAAGGCATTGCATGGTTCAAGCTAGAGGCATCATGGAACATTTGCAAAACTTGGAGCTACTGAGGAGGGGTCAGAAAAATGGCTTTTACAAGGTGCCCATCATACTCGGCAAGAGCAAATTGGCCTAAAACTAATGAGCTACACCAGAACCCACTGATCACTTCGAAGCCTCAGAAGGCTCGCATACTGGGCCTCACGCAAGGCTGGTATGATCCCCTTTAACCTTCACAGTTGATGTTGAAGAAGGAACTTTATCTCCAGCTGACAGAATGTGAAAGCTCAGACCAGAGAGAACGTTGCTCAAGGGGGATAGGCATGGTGCTGGGTGTGCACGCAGAAGAACGTGACAACACTGCCTTTTGGGACATCACTCTGCCTTGACAAAGGGAACAGGAGGAGACTGTGTCAGGGTGACAGGCAAGACCACCCTGAGGGCACTGTGGCCATCCTGTACCTGGTGAATGTGAAAGGAGGAAGTTTGGGCTAACCAGCTTGTCCCTCCGTTATGCCTTGGCGTTTGTGAATTTCCAGGCAGCCTGAGCACTTAACACTCTCCTTGAGCCTCCTGGAGGAAGAATAAGAGATTTGGAATTTAGGTACCAAGGAAAAGCTAGACTTGGAAAGCAGGCATAGTGTGCAGCAATCAAGTCAAGAATTAGCTTCCAGTGTGGTAGAGAGCGAAGATAAGACACAGCTGCCCCAGGCTGCCTTGGTCCTCTCAGGGAGGGGCAGGACAAACTACTCCTGCTCCTGCCTGGGATTAGCTCCTTCTTTGTGTTGTGTTTTTGCCCCTCCCATTGATTGAGTTGTGTTGAATCAACCTCTCGTCTCTCCACAGATGGGTACGTTCCGATCCCACGATGGAGATTATTTTATTGAACCACTGCTGTCTGTGGATGAGCAAGAGGATGAAGAGGAGCAGAACAAACCCCACATTATCTATAGGCGCAGTGCTCCTCAGAGGGAGTCCTCAACAGGAAGGCGTGCCTGTGACACCTCAGGTATTTGCTTCTTGATTAAATACAGATGCTGCTTTGACGTGGGTTCGTTGCCACATTGCAAGAACGCAGCAGCTTTTTTGCTGTTTGCAAAACACCACCGTATACGATACGGTTTATTCAGTCGTCTGGTAAGGTAGGTATAGCCCCTTGTATAAATGGGAACTACAGAGAGATTTAGTGACTTTTCTAAGGCTGCACGGCTAAGAATGTACAGTCAGGATTCGAAATCAGAAAGCCATGACTCCAGTCCATCTGTGGGCGAAGTCGCCTCTTCTGTTGAAGTTGTTGAGACTTCAGACAAAGCTGGAGTCTGAACCTGTTGCTGCGGTGAGCAGTCGTTTGCACTTTCTTGATGGCTTCTTTTCGTTTGGTTTCGCTTTTGATTTGTGTCACATTCGTGACATATGCATGCTGCACAGGGTTTTGGATTTTATTTTGTTTTGCTTTGCTTACTCTTATAATGGAATTCACAAAGCCTGCTGTGTGTTTATTGATCTGGCTAATGTCTGTGGTTTTAGGAAACCCAGAAATGGATCTGGAAGCTTCCTTCTAGGTTCCAGTCCCATCCACACACTGTAGGCCTGCTGTTTGGTTTCACTGCATTCTGGGCAGATGATATACGGTCCATCCCTAGAGATGCATTTTCCTGGGCACCTGAGGAAATTGATGATTGTCTGTGGCCTTCAGTCTGCAGTGTTGTAACATCCCTCACCGACCTCTAGGCCTGGCTGTTGTTCACCTGCTGGCAGCTTCCCACTGAGTAGCCTCCTTAAGATTGTTCTTATGTGCTAAGATGATTGTTAAAATGTTTTTTAAAATTTCATCGATTTCTTGCTTATGGAACTCTTTCTTCATACCTGTATCAACAAAGTAAGTAGCTGTTCAGAGTTTTCTGGTATCTTTTACAAGACTAATGCGGAAGTTGTTTTAAGTGCTCCCCCGAAGAGTTGTCAGCATCATCTTTTATCTCTATCAGGACTTCTCACCGTGATGGTGTCTCGTGTCTTCATCCCTGCTAGAGGTATTATTTCTAAAGGGAATAAAGATAAAGATAACTACATATAATCAGAATAGTCAACAGCAAGAGGATAGAATTACAGGTCTTTCAGCTTATTGCATCCATTCTTGTGTTCTCACCATGACAGCAAGGTGGGATATAACTGGAGTCACTGTTACCTGGTCTCCCTAAAGGAATGAAGAAGCCATATGTGAATGATCTCAAGTTCAAGACTAGCCTGGGCTACTTTGTGACTTCCAGGTCTGCCTGGTCTATATATTGAGACTTTGTCTGCAAAGGAAAAAGGCAAAAAGAAAAGTCCAAAAGTTGTTGTTGGGTAGTTGTCCTCAGAAACAATAGTCTCAGGAACTGGAGTAGTGGCAAGCCTGCTAGCTGCCAGCTAGTTTACTCATTAGGACATTTGTCCTAGTTTTATTTATTTTTTTACTATCCTAAGTCAGGTTTATTTTATTTCTCAAATATGTAATAGCAAGTGTATATTTTAAACATGTTGTACACTGGATCGAAGGGAAATACATGATCCCTCCCTTCTGTCTAACTGATGTGTTAAAAAGTAAATGGTACTTGTGTTTAATGCACTGAACACTAATCTAGATTCTGATGTTCTTCTCCCTAGAGTGGCTGCAGAATAGCTTTTTGAAATGCAGCCAGAGATGTCCTGCCTTTTTCTAGACAGTCACCAAAAGCTCAGGCCCTTCCCTTTTCCCTTCATCTCTACTCCAGACTTAACGAGGCAGGACTCTCTCTCATTGCCTCTTTTCTGGTAAGGAAACTGATTCTCACACAGAAGAAGTGACCTTCCAGAGGACCTCACTGACAGGCCAAAGGAAAGCTCTCCAAGTGTTTTCCTCCTCTACCACCCATTTTAATGTAGGCAGAGACTGCTCATTCCTTCCCGGCCACCCAGACCCGAATAATCACACAGAAACTACGTTAATTACAACACTGCTTGGCCCATTAGGTCAGGCTTCTTATTAACTCACTCTTACATCTTAAATTAACCCATGTCTATTAATCCGTGTATTGGCATGAGGCTGTGGCTTACTGGTAAAGATCTGGTGTGTCTTCTTTGGCAGCTACATGGCATCTCCCTGACTCCACCTACTCTTTCTCATATCTCTTCCATCCAGGCTTTATTCTATCTTGTCATAGGCTGAAGCAGCTTCTTTATTAACCAATAGTAATAAAACCTATTCACAGCATACAGAAGGAAACCACATCATTTTAATTCTGTAGGAATGCATGTGGAGAAGGGAAATAGGGTAGAGAAAGTCAACACTATCATTCAAGAAAATATTCAAGGTCTTTTTTTTTTTCAAATGAATTATACAACACAAGTTATAGACTTTTGATTGTTTGGGGCTAGAGGACACATTTTCAGATCTTGTTTTTTAAAAAAGAAAAATACAAAGAAAAAGTTAAAATATATGAAATTGAGGATGATCAATAAAAGGTACTCATCTTTCCAGAAAAGCTCACTCAGGCTCTAGTCATTGTTGATATTGAAGTCTGAGGGTACAGCCTCCAAAAAAACCAAGACCAAGTGTTTGTTTGTTTGTTTTCTGGTATTTACTTGCCAGTGACCAATCTGCCAAACACACTCCCTTCACCCTCCGTGATGAATCAGGAGTCTGGCAGTTTTAGATTGTTTGTTTTAAGACAAGGGCTTCTGTGTAGCCTGGGCTAACTTGTAACTCACTTATGTAGACCTGGCTGGTCTTGAACTCATGGAGACCCACCTATCTC